TATATATATATATATATATATATATATATATACACATACATACACACACACACACACACACACACACACACACACACACACACACACACAACCTAAAAACATGGCGACATACCTTCTACCACGAGTTGGAAAGACCTGCTCTGCTTTATTCCCATTCCCGTAGAGACCTCACACACATAGAAGCCAGAGTCACTATACTTCAGGTGGAGAAACACAGGCTTCTTGTCCAGTTTGCCATTGTCCTGAAAGAACACGGCGGCTTGTTAAGGAACGCAAGGCACCGCATCGGCAACACTCCTCCGTCTCGAAGATGTTGAGACTGGTGGAGATCTTCAGAGATCATTTTCTTTCAGTTGGATCCTCCCAAGCTCACGGCAATACCTACCTTGGTCCACGACACCCTTATTTCATCAGATGCATTCTTCTGTATCACCACTTCCAGAGATTCGCCGATATTCTTAATTATTGTCCCAGAGGGGCTCAAACTGACATCCAGGTCTTGGGAGGAAGGAAACAATCTCTTAGACGTCTTGAAAATGTTCTATCAGCTTACCGCAGGCCACAAGCACACACTCATTTATTGAGTTTATCGAATTCATTAAATCCTCTTTCTGAGAAGAGCAGTTGCCCACACAGTTAGGGTGCTGAACGACTCTCAAGATAAAGTCTTGGTTTACATACTATGTGTTTTTCCCAAAATATCTTGGACGACAGTGACAAAATACTTATTAATCTCCAAGTGGAACGCAATAAAATGGCAAGAATGTGTTTTTGTCAAGGCTGTTGAACCCTCCTCAAAGAACAATACCCACAATCTCCACAGACAGTAACCGAATGCGAACAAAAATTCTGCTTATCTGCATTTTCATAGACTGCTCCAACAAAATGGTTCACAATTATAATTACTTCATTCACTGCCCAGAATAATAATAAACTTGTCTCCATTCTCCTTGAAGATGTATTTTATTACCGTTAATTACCCTGGTGACTTCATTTAAATTACAAAAGAAATTGTTTGTTAATAAATTACAGTCAAATTACTCCTTCGATTAATGTAAGTAGTTGCGCGGTATTACCGCAGGGAATTCTCCGGTGGCATGCGATCGGAGATGGATACTCACAGTTCACCAGGATGTTCTTAGTGTCCGCCATTTTGTCATCGTTGACCAAGGAACACTTGTATTCCCCGGTGCTGCCTCGCGTCACGCCGGTTAGGGTGTACATGTTGGCGTTCTCCACCGTCACCTTCTTCTCCTTTGGTGGGGATGAGAGGAAAAACTCATGGAGGTCAGGAAGAGAACGTCCAACAAATGTAGCCCAGCTGTCCGCATGTTGTCCGCAGAGCTTGCCTTGAGATAGAAGCTGAAACTGGTCGGCGGAGGATTCCCATCAGCATTACACTTCAAGGTGATGTTGTCTCCCTCCTTGAAGGGCCCTTTGCTAACCACCTGCAGCTCTACCTTCTCCGTGGGGTCTATGGGAAGAGTGTGAGGTCAGCTTGAACACCTACAGATGCCCGAGCTTCTACAGATATTTCCGCCCTGCTCCGGGAGACCACCTAGGGCCCCCCCGCCCTCAATTCCAAAGCCATTTGCCATGGTGAGAGAGCCTCCGTTGCAGGCGGCAGTGAAGTGAGTCATATTACTTCTGTGCCCTGAGGAGCAATACAAAATCTCCTTTCAGCTCTCAATAAGTGCTGCTGCAGACAGGCTATGTGCACCGACTTTCTGGATAAAACCCACTTCAAGGACCACCTTGAGTGGTACGGTGATGCTGGGCTGCTGCTGAAGGATCTACATGAGAAAATCATCACCATCTCCCGCTTTCTAAGGCCAATGTCAAGAAGCACTACCCAAATCCAAGCCAACAGAGAAATACAAACCCTCTCTTGTGTAAAGCGTGTAGACTCATGAGTACCAGTATACCCCTTATTGCTTGGAATCAAAGTACCGATTTCAGAACCAACAAATCAAGAGGTCCATAGCACATATCAGTCTGCCTGTTTTCTGGTATCTAGCCCAAAGGGGGTGCTGTTGTCCACTCACAGTTGATGGTGAAATTCTCTGGTGCAGTGACTTGGTTGGGCCCCAGGATGTGCTGGACGCTGCAGCTGAACTGGGAGCTTGCATCCTCCTTCACGGCCATGTACTCCAGTGTGGAGCTGGTGGTGGAGAGTCCGGTGGTTGGATCCGCAGTCTTTTTCGTCGTGATGACGGTCGCTGGAAGTGAACGGGGGTTACGGGTCACAGGTGACGTTTCAGGGTCAAGAGGATCCAGAAGTAATCAATATCAAGTACGGAGGCCAATTGTAAAACTGCAGTAACCCGATATTTAACGGCTGGTGTGCATCATCAAATATACAATAATGCAAACCTACTACTTTGATCACTGCAAAGAAGCGGGCAGCCCCGATACTTACATTTCCCATCAGCAGTCAGAGGCTGGCCGTTCTTCAGCCATGTGACATTGGCCGCGGGGTTGGCATCCTGGGTGAGACACTCCCCAAGCTGAATGGGAAGGAAATGTGTTATTGGTCGGGGGCTCAGCATCAGCGACACCATGTGACTATGTTTGCATCACATTTACATGTATTTAGATAGCAGATGCTTCTGTCCAAAGCAACATACAGGTGAGGAACGCTTTAGGTTAGGGGGCAGGGACAGGTCAGATGAGGATAAGGTCCTCACCCAAGGAATCAAAAGTGATATAATTACTCTGCCAGTCACGGGATTTGAACCCACAACACTCTGGATATGAGCACAAAACCCTCACCCATGCTAACCCTATAGATTTGTAAGAGCTGTATACTCTCGCACAGGTTACATTTTCCCTGGCATGTGTGACAAAGAGGGAACTTTTTTTTAAAAAACAAAAAACAAAAAACAGACACACATCAAGCATACAAGGTGTCGTCAGCTTGAAAAATATATTACAGGACAAGTCAGACAGGCATTAGCGAAAACGTGACTAGATTAGCTACACCGTGAGAACGAGTCTGCAATCGGCTTTGTCATGGGAGAGTAATGCTGCATGAGATCGCGTGTTTGAAGCGTCAAGAGGGGGGAGGAGTGGCTGAGAAGGTGGGGGGTGGTGTGCTGATTTGGGAGCAGGCAGTTAGACCACTGAGCCAATTTGTAAAAACATGAGGCCAAGCTGCAAACCTGCAGCCCTGACTGCCTCAGGTAATGAGCCCTGACCTCCCTCACCCCCCGTTGGTA